TACCCCCTCAGGGAAGCTGGGGGCAGTGACTGGCAGGGCTGGACAACACACTGATGCTTCTTTCCCTCCAGGCAGTACCAAGAAATGGGAGATGCAACGATTACTGGCTATCGCTCAGCCATCTTCGCTCACATCTGATTACAAGTATTGCCCCATCTTTCTCTGCTTTTGCACAGTTCTGACCAGCACCCACCCACACCACCTGCTTCCAGTGGCGCCAGCCTGCACCTGCCAGAGGCTGTCCCTGCTGGTCTATTCCCCAGGCCTGCCAATTATGGTAGCATCAACTGGTTCCATCCACCGCCTGTGCTCGAACCCCATGGAACACCTTGCACCCAGCTTCCCAGCACCATTGTTCCAAGACACAGAGTCCCAAGGCCTTGTCTCCCCCAAAGTGGTGTAACCCTGGCTTCACTGCCTCTGTGCCCATGGTCCTATTGTGTGTCTAGCTCAGGCCTCTCCCCAGTACCAAATCCGAAGCCCAGCCTAGCCACTTTCTCAGGAATCTCACACTGAAGGCATCTGGCCTAGCCTGCTCCTATTAAGCCATTCACCCCTGCAGGGCAACCTATCTCCGCGGAGGCTTGCTCCTAGATCCCCACTAAACAGCACCGGGGCCAGCTCCTATCACCTCTCCCCTGCTTCTGTCGCAGCCCCAGCTTTACTAATCTCAGCCTTTCCCTGCTAGTCCACAGGGAGGACAATGACCTTGCATTTCTCATCTCTTTGTCTTCACCACCAAGTGTTGGGATGACAGGTGTGCACAACCTGGTTTGTAAAATGTGCGGATGAACGGCTAGATACGGGATATAAGCACAGGGCCTGAGCTGTCGCTGGCAGCTACAGAGGAGTGGCGTGCTGAGAACGGATCTCTCCATCTCTGCAGGAGGACAGACCAAGATGCAGGGTGGCTTGGGTCACTATTGCAGGGAGACAAGTGGGACGAGCCCCATACAGCTGTGGTTTCTTCTGGAGTCAGAGGCCAGGGTGTATCCTGGTTAGATTTGGGGGCGGTGTGGCAGGGTGTACTGCTGTCCTACAGGTCTGGGGCATCATGGGTAGTGGTGACACTGCTGTGGGTGACAACCATGGTGGTAGTATGGGGGTGGTAACAGAGATGCTGAACTTTAAGTCAGTGCTGAAGGTCAGGGGGGACAGGGTGGGGACAGGGTTGAGTAGGAGCAGGAATCTGGTCTCTGTACCCTGGTCTGAAAACTCAAGAGGACTTTGAGAATTCAGGCTTCCTATGTCTTTGGGAAGCCTGTCCCCTCCGGCTTCTCTAGACTTCTAGCTGGCAGTTCCTCTGGCTCATGAAGTAGAGCCTTGGCACTGTCTCTGCAAGAGTCTAGTCTACAGATGCAAAATGCAGAGGGAAGGGGTGTGGAAGAGAGCAGGAGACCCTGTGGGCCTGGTCAACGAGGCTGACACTTCCTCCTCTCATCTGGTCATCAGCTATTCCTGTGCAAGGACAAGAGAAACAAAAGGAGACAGGAGGTGTGGAGGGCAGAGGCTGGGAGCTGGAGAGTGGGCCATACCTAAGTCTCCTCCTGGAGCCCTGCTGTGGAAAAAGGAGATGGCCACCCACATCTCCTGTCTCAGGGAGCCCTGTGGCTCAGAGGAGGGGCGGGACAGATGGGAACCATCCTGAGGAAGAAATCCCCACCCCACAGTGGTCTCTTGGAACTGCGCAGTCAGGGCCAAGCAGAACCTGGGTTCAGAGGTGGTCATGTAGGAGGTGGACCCAAAGGGTGTCCCTAGAAGGGTCACCAGGTTCTGGCACTCTTTATCTGGGGCCCCAGCTGTGGCCACAGGAAGTCACTGTTTTGCTGCTGGTCTCCCCTCTAGGCCCATGATAACGTTGGGGGATTCTAATGTATTGAGCAACACCTTAGCCTGGGCTGCAGGACCTCTGGCCTACAGGCCTAGGAGCTGAGCCCGGCATGTAAGCTGAGGTGGAAGAAAGGGGACAGGCCAGTGGGACAATCTAATTTGTTCTCTCCAAGTCTAGTAAGTGCAGGCAAGCAGATCTGTGTTCTTGTGCTGAGCCAGGACGACATACTCAGGGACCCCAACCAGTGTCCTTTTCTGATGCCCCATACAATTCTGTCCCTACATTCAGGTTCTACCACCTGTGTTGAGTCCCCAAACCTTCCAAACATCCTCTCTGCACTGTTATCCTGAACTGCTTCCCCTCTTACATCCAGAAACCTCCCTATCCAGGCAGGTCACCTCACGGGACTCCTTTTCTTTTTCTTCAGGCTAGGGCTAGGGCTGGGGAACCCACCCCGCTGCTGCTCTTCAGACTAGGGCTGGGGAACCCACCCCGCTGCTGCTCTTCAGACTAGGGCTGGGGAACCCACCCCGCTGCTGCTCTTCAGACTAGGGCTGGGGAACCCACCCCGCTGCTGCTCTTCAGGCTTCCGCAGGCCTCCTCTTTAGTCCCCTTGACAGCCTCACGCCAGAGTCCATGTCCCGCACCTACTCCCAGCAGATGAGCCTGTGGATGACCGGCCGAGCTAATTAATGGCTGGACCTCCTATCAATGTGCGGCGATTGCCTCCCTAATGAGGGCGTCTCCCTGTGAGGGCTCCCTACCTTCCTTTAGCAATCTCTCGGTTCTTCCTGTTAGAGTCCCTCGACAGTATGTCCTCTACCCCTGGCAAACTCCTACTTTCGTTAGTCTTTTTTTTTAAATTTATTTATTAAGGATTTCTGCCTCCTCCCCGCAACCGTTTCCCATTTCCCTCCCCCTCCCCCGATCAAGTCCCCCTCCCTCATCTGCTCAAAGAGCAATCAGGGTTCCCTGACCTGTGGGAAGCCCAAGGACCGCCCACCTCTATCCAGGTCTCGTAAGGTGAGCATCCAAACTGCCTAGGCTCCCCCAAAGTCAATACGTGCAGTAGGATCAAAAATCCGGAGTAGCTGAACATTCTTTAGTCTTACTCATGGAGCCTCTGTGGTCTCTTGGCAAGAAAGAAGGGTCAGAGAGGACCCTCAAGGGAGGGCCATACTAGGAACTAGGAGGCCATGAGGGGCGTTGAGGAAGCCTGGCAATATGGAGGTTGTACAGGTTAGGAAGTCTGGGCTGGGCTCACCAAGGAAGAGTGAATTTCATGAGGGTCTAGGTTTTGGTACCCTGACAGCCTCCCAGCATCAGTTTTAAAGGGCCCCAGAGAAGGTGCTCATCCACGTCCGTGCTCTGCGGGCCACCACTCTGCAGATGCCAGCCCCTGCCTCCACCACTCTGCAGATGCCAGCCCCTGCCTCCACCACTCTGCAGATACCAGCCCCTGCCTTCTCTACTCCACTCCTCTGCAGATGCCACTCATACAGGAGACAGACGAACCCTGAGTACATGGTGTCCAGACGCTGGCCCTGAGAGGCTCCAGGAGCATGTGTGCATGGCTGGGGAGGACAGAGGCTGTCCCTTCTGCCCCAGGCCCCCAGGGCTTCCCATTTACCAGCCGTTATCTATCAAAAATATATTAACCCCGAGCCTGTTTCCATCAGAGTCTCGATTCCAGGGACGGTTCCAGATAAGCCTTATCTCTGTGCTGGTGCATTAGCCCCATGCTACAGGGCCTGCCAATCATGCTGCCCCCACCCAGCCTGTGGTGTGGCACTGGTTGTGACTTCACGTTGTGTAGGAGGCCAGGGTGTCTCTTTTCTGAGGACACACCCCAGGCACTATGGCGGGCTTTTGGTATTGTCTAGTGCCCTAACCCATGGCATAGAGACCCCACGCAGGTTCCTGTGGGTTGTGGCTGGAATGAACCTGGCCCTGTGGAGTTGTAGCTTCCCTAAAACACTGGAGCCTGGGACCACGACAGGACTGGAGGGTTCTGGAGCCAGGGGCCCTGCCTGCAGCCAGTCCAGGTCAGCAGAGCACACTGCTCCCTCTCACTGCTGCCGTGACTGGGCCACCCCTCAGGACTGTGCACCCTGACTTTAACTCACTAATAGTGTTCGAGTTTCCACCAGTGCCATGCCTGACAGAGGCTCAGCTGTGCTCTTAGGCCACACTGGACAGGCCTGCTTCATATATTCTCAGGGTCCCAGAGGCTTTGTGGGGGGGTCACATGCTGAGCAACCCCTCGCAGTGCTCATCCCTGGGCTCTTCTATGTGCCTCCACTTCCCTCTATCTGGGCTCTCAGGAATACAGTCTTCAGGAGAGACGCTGCGGGGAGAGACTCTATGGACATGGAGACTCTAATCCACATACAGGTCCTGGAGAAAATGGCTGAACTGGAGCTGTGCAAGGGCTAGGGTGGGCTGCACTGCCTCTTGTGGGTTTACAGGCCTCTATCCCTCAGTGTGGGCACGTCTGTTGGCTTGCTCCCCAGGCTGCAGGGGTGTGATGGCAGCTCTATGCTCAGCAGAGTCCATTGGGGACCCTGAGGTATAGGCTGGGAATGTGACCAAGATTATAAATCCCATTAAGGGCAGATAGGGATACTATGCCCCAAACTGCAGGGATGAGCCAGCTTCAGGCCCCTTGGCCAGGGAGGTTTCTGGTCCAGGTCTCAAGCTGAGCAGAATGACTTCCTTACTTATGAGGACTTAGACCTGGCTCAGCCACTCACCCACGCTTAGAGGCCACCAGTCCTAGAAGCCTCTACTGCTCCCAGAAGTGAGGTAGGGGACTGTGGACCTCAGCCAGTTTGGCTACCTGTCGTGAGGCCCTTGCCCAAGCCTGGGCCTCACTGTCTCTGACTGCCTGTGCTTCTCAGGTGTCATGACAGGTGGGAAGGATTGGGGAGGGGAGAGGGCAGCTCAGTCAGTGACTCTGTCCTTCAGGCATGGCAGTCTTCCGGTCTAGGTGGAGCTGAATGAGGGCACAGTGCTGCACCAGAGGCAGACCAAGCAGAAGGCAGCCATCCCTGAGGTGCCCACACGGGTGGCAGCAGTGGGATTCCTTGGAGCTGGAATTCAGTTCTTTTGGGAGAGGAACAACCGCAATGGCCGTGACCACCCTACATTTGCTGCCTTTGGGCCACACCCAGGCCCTGGACTGACAAGGTAGTGGCAAGGGTACCATGGAGTCCTACAGCTGTGGGAAGCTGGTCCTTAGGGGCCAGGCAGCTTGTCTTCAGCTATAGGTTTCCCTGACTGCGGCTGCCTGAGGCCTGGCCAAGGGTGGTGAAGGGCAGTCACTGCCATCCTGGCCTCTTGGATGCATGAGGGGCTTGGCGGGCTGATGGCATATTTGATTAGGGGCCATAGTGTTCAGGGACGCTGTGTTCTGTAGCCTGGGTCCTTTTCCTCTGCCCTCAGCTCTGGGGCTTAACAGACCCAAGTCATTTGATCACAACCTGCCCCGTTAATATTTTTAATGCCATTTTTGAAAATTAAAACATAATGCACTGATTACTGGGATAAAGGGAGGCCTTCACGTCTGTCTGGAGGTCAAACAGGGAAGCGCTGGGACATCTGCTACCCTTACAGGTGTCTGGAAAAGCTCTGACTCCTCTCATTGGTCAGCTCCACCCTCTCGCCCCATCTTAGTCTCAATGTTAAGCCTGAGGGTGCTGGGACTGGAGATGAACATGGACAGGGTCCACGTGCTCCACCCTGACCTAGCACTCTCGGAAGTCTGGTCCCCAAGCTGGAGGTCAGGGTCTGTTGACCTCTAATGTCAACATGGAGCCCTAGGGTGCTAGCCACTGCCCAGAGGCCTTACTAGGTTCAGCTGCTCAGAGAACCTCAATTCTTCAATGCCCATAACACCCCAGGAGCCACTTGGTTGGTCCTCACCCAGTGCCACACAATACCCTGTGATGCCTGCTGACCCTGGAAGACAGGCAGACTATGGGTGGCTAGGTCACATATGGGATGTTTATTTCCAGTTGCAGGGTGCCAGCTACTTGGGGTAGGGCTGCAGACACCCTAACTGGGGAAGCCTGTGGGGCCCAGGCTACTGGCTCTGCTAAGGCTCTTTCCTAGCTGGACCTAGCTGTTATCCCAGGTGGGTGAAGGGATGGCAGGTTTTCTCAGTGGGGATGGCAGTAAAATGGGGCTGTCCGCAGGATTGGGGAGATTGAGGCACATGGGGGGGGGGATCTGGCACTGTAGTCTGGCTTGCAGCTGGGCAGGATGCCCTGGGGGGCTGGTTCACTTAGGGAGTCTGTACCATGCGCTTCTGGGTGTCAAAGACATAGCGCTTGAAAGACAGACTGAGTGTCACAGGCTGCATGGGCTCTGGCCGTTCGGTGCCCTCCTCTTGCTTAGTGGTCTCCCCACGGCCAGCTCGGTTCCGCTTCTTGAGTGTAGGCGTCAGGATCTTCTTAGACTCAGGGCTGAGGCCACCTGGAGGGATAAAAGTGTCACTACTCACTGTAGGCAGAGCTGCCTCCTTGTCTCCCCGCTTCATACCCTTACCCAACCCAGTATCATCCTCTGCCCAACAAGGCAGGGCCTTTGTGACTCCTCCCCACACCCAATCACTATAGCCAGTCACTCTAGGGGTACAACTCTCTGATCTTCTGACTTCTTGCCTGGCCCCTAAGGTCCTAATGCTCTCTGGGAACACTGTGCAGGACACTTGAAGGTTCTGGCCACCATGGAGATACCGTATGCTGGAAGTCTGACTCTGAAGCAGGCTGAGGTTCTGTGCCTTCTGCTTCTGGGTGGGTTCAGAGGAGGGGGCCTCAGCAGAGAGGTAAGCAGGGAGGTTTAATCAGCTCTCTTTGGCCAGACCTCCTGTGGCGGTCTCACCCAGGCTCTGGGAGACACTGTCTCTAGCTGGTTCCTCCAACCTCACCACCCACCCTGAGTAAGGTTGGGTTCTTTGCTATCCCCAAGAGCTAAGTATGACCTTTCTTCATCCAGAACACCCTTCCTGCTCTAACAGTGGAAGATGTCCCATGGCCTTTCAGGAAAAGGCAGTGCTTAGCCATTTTCAGTGAAGTTGCACCCTGACAGCACCCGGCAGCTGCAGACACTGCATTAAGTTTAGATTGAGTTCAGCATCTCACATGTTTATCTTGTGTTGAGACTTACAACCAATTGTCTTGGGTTTCTGGATAAGACACTGGGCAGAGGCTCAGGCAGTGTCTGCTAGTGTTTACTGGCACCTGGGTGAATCTCCTGGCAGTCCTGATTCTGAAGGCCAGCATCCATCTGTATGTGGGCCTCTGACAATGACTTTTTCTTCCAAGACAGGGTTTCTCTGTGTGGCCATGGCTGTCTTGGAACTCACTCTAGACCAAGTTGGTCTTGAACTTAGAGATCTGCCTGCCTTGTTTCCCAAGTTCTGTGATTAAAGGCATGCACCACTATTGCCCAGCTCTGACATGATCTTGAAGAGGGATCCCACCTCTCTAAGCACTCTGCACTGGGCCCCAATCACTGCAAATTTAAAAAGTGGTACATCCCTGGAAAACTGCAGTCCGTTAGGGATGTCTTGTCTCACTGTATAAAGGGTCTGGACTCATTCTGACAGGCGAAAGTGAGACTATGAGCTACCTCAAAGCCTGGATCCCCTGGAAAAGTTAGGAGCTTGAAGCTGCTAACAGGGCCCTGGAATCAAGATGCCTATGGTCCCCTGCCACAGTGCACCCAGTAGAAGGTGCCCTCCTGCAGCTGCCTGGTCTTTAGCCCTGCATCTGTGGCTTTGCTTCCTCCCAGACGGTGCCTAGGCCCTGGAGCAAGAAGAGGGCCCTGGGCTGGTGCCAGGCCTGCAGGTATCTGAGTTCTTGAATCAGAGCTGGGCCTTCCTCCTGCTGGCACCAGACCCTGACAAATGGTACGGGCCTGTCTCTCTCTGGTGCCAGGAGGTCTGATCGCTGAAGAGGTGCAGGGCTCCAGAGCGTCTGTGCCATGCTGGGGAGACAGGTGTGGCCCAATCAGCGGTCCATCTCATCTGTGATAGCTCTGGTTACACACAGTGCATACCGCATCAGCACAGAGCAGGCAGGGATGGAAGAGGAGTCTGGCACAAGCAATACTGTGGCCATTTAGCAGCTGGGTCACCTCAGCCGTCCCAGGGGTCTGGGAACAACACCAAGGGTCTACCAAGAAACCTGTACCAACAGCTCCTGGGGCATATGGCTGATATCACACCGTTTCTTCAGGTGGCATGTGCTGAGGAGTTGGAGCTGTACCCACCACAGGCACGTGGCCCAGCTCAGGCTGCAAATGCCTCTCAACCGCCCAGGGCTTCCTTTTAAAGATACTTGGCATTGTAGGATCAGTGGACGGCCGGGAGTAGGCACACAGTCTAAGCCAGCTCCCCTGGAGAGATTCTAGCTTGAGAAGACCGACAGTCAACAGGTCTGGAAGCAGACAGCCTCAGATAGCAGGAGGAACTTAAGGAAATGTCCCCATGTCCCTGGGAGGGCGATGGTAGCAGCTTTGATGTGCCTAATGCAGGGCTCTTTGAAAAAGATTGCTGGACTCATGGCCAGGTGACAGGGACCACCACAGAGATTGCTAGCAGGCTATATAGACAGAAGGAATATGTGTTATGGTCAAGTCTATTAAGTATGTGCTTGCTTCTGTGGGAAAAAAAGGTGCTGACTGGGTCAGGGAGTTAGCAGACAGCTATGGCCCCTCTATCTATAGTCAGGGTGCCATCAGGCAGGGCAGTTTCCCACCCTGCTACCCCTCTCTCCTGGCTCTTCCTTTGTGCCTGGGCAAACGGCAAACACCCACTTCCCTGTACCGCATATCTGCATATCCACCTTTGTACACTTCTGGCTTTGTTAGCCCCTCAGCTAGATGATGCACTCCCTGGGGTTCTAAGAGCATCTATTCAGATAGCTGTCATCTCTCAGGCCTACTGATGACCTGGCCACTGTACCCAGCCTCTAGCCCTTACCTGCTCTAGCTCTTTCCTATAACTCCACCTCATCTGGTAGACTCTATTACCTCCGTGTTTTAGTATCTGTTGTCTTTCCCTGACCAGTTCTACCACAGTGAAGTTTCTGTCTTTACCATGCGATCTGCACTGGGAACTCTGGCTCCCAGTTGTCAGTGCTGGTGAGACCTTATAGGGCTGGAGGCCCTAGAACAGAACCCAAAACAGCAAGCATCTAGAAGTAGCCTGTAAGGTAGTTCCTGCACAGCCAATGTCAACCTAGAAGTCTACTTCCAGGAATGCAAACCAGACATAGGTGTGCCATGTGGGCCCAGATGTGTAGAAGTGCCTCCATGCAGAGGTACCCAGCTCTCACTGATCAGGGCTGGGGGCACTGAAGTGCCAAAGAGCTTCACACTTGCCAAAGGTCCCACGGTGGGTGGTGGGCAGTGTTGCTGTCCAAGGTGGTCTGACCCCATCTGTGTTCCCATCTGTGTTTGAGCATTAAAGAACCATATGTCTAACATCAGTTAGAGGGACCCCGAGACCAAGGGGTGATGAGACAAATCCCCTGTTGTAGTAAAGTGATGGCCCGTAAGACTAAATGCGACTCGACGAACATTTAAAAACAGATTCATGCTGGGGCAAGGACTCAGAGATGGCTTATTCAGTAATGTACTTGCAAATCCGAGGACCTGAGTTCAGATCTCCAACAGCCAGGTACGAAACTGGGCAAAGTGGTGAACACCTATAATCTTAGCGTTCAGGAGGGGAAGACAGGGGTCCCCGGGCTTGCTGGCCAGCAGCATGTTTAGTTGAGTTTTGTGAACTCCAGGTTCAGTCTAAATTAGGGAAGTAACAGAGAAAGACACAAAGTTGACCTCTGACCTCTATACAAAAGATGTATTCTAAACTTAGTTCAAACAATGCAGCAGGCAGAACTTTCAGAAGAACCCTGCCAACTCAGCTACAGAGAAAAGACCAGAAGGCTCTATGACCAGCCCCCGGGACCACACGGGTGACAAGCAGTGCCTTTCCTCTACTTTTCTGAACTGCCCAAGGGCTCTGGGTAACCCTGGGTTAGGCACAGAGGCCATCTACAAAGGTCACACAGTGTGCCCACTCCAGAACCCAGACAAGGGACAATGTGTAGCAGTGCACCCTAGCACACAGGCAAGCAGGGGAAGGGGAAGGAAGTCCAGGTGGGTCCCCGCAGCCTGGTGGTGGGGCTCAGGGCAGTTGTGATCAGGAAGCAGGCTGGCACTTTGAGAACAGTGGCCTTGCTTCTATGCTCTGGTCGTGCCTGGGAAGGGTGAGGCTGAACATGGGTAGATCTCACGTATGGGCCTTGAGGTCAAAGTGTCCGACATAGCTGCTTTCAGCTAGAGCAGAAGTCTCAAGGGGCAGGCTCAGGGACTGGCTCCCAGTTCCTCAGCCCCACTGCATTCCTGCTGCCTCCTGCTCTACTTCCTTGTCACCAGAGAGAATCCTCTAAGGCCTACATGATGCTTGGACCTGGTCACACTAGAAGGAGTATGTGCTCACTCAGGGCCCATGCCTGCCTCCTCTGTCTCTCCACTCTCTGGTGCTTCCATCCCACTCTGTACATCAGGCACAGGAAACCAGGCAGGGGTTCCTGATCACTCATTTCTGGGAGCTGAGCTCCTTTCCACCTGCTGAATTCAGGCTGCTACTGCTCCTTGGAGCATGTCCCCTGACTGTCCTGAGCTAAAAGGAGTTTCTCCTAGGGGCCTCACCGAGCACTTGTTTTTACTGTGGTTGGGTAGTGCCTACTTCTCAGAGGCTGGAGAATGGTGATGATCTTTCCCCTGCCGGTCTCCTGGGGAACATGAATGGGGTGGAGGCATCCCATGCTGTACGCAGCACCCACCACCATCTTACTCACGCCTCTGTATGCTATGCTCCATGAACCCACACCCCTTTGCATGCACTCCCATATGTCACATGTATCCACTCTCCCATGTACACTACATATCATATACAGCTATCAGTACTCACCTATACTATTCATATCCATGGTCCATGGCCCTGCATATATTCCTGCATGCCCCACACACGCACGCACACACACACACACATACACACACAAGCGCGCACACGCACACACACACCACTCACATCCCCGCACTCATCTCTATTACATACATCTCCATGCCAGCTCCTCCATGTTACACACACCTGTACGCATCCCACCCAAATGAACAGGGCAGTGATGAGGCCTGGGGAAAAAGACACCTGTCCCTCAAGCGGTCCAAAGAGCAGTCTGGCTCAGGCATCAGGTTGGACTTTGGCCCCCTCTCATGTGCCAGCACCAGACTTCTCCTGGTAGGGGATGTGCTGGGGCTGAGGTAGCCCATGATGCCCCCTATTCAGGAGGCCTATTCTCTTCCTAGACACCACGAGTCCTGGAGACTGATTCTCTTTTGAGCCCAGACCCCAGGATGTAGTGGGGGTGGCAGTGACCCTATGTGACACCACTGCTCATAGC